AGTTTATATAATAATATATTTAAAACATCTTTGTCAAATATTTCTTTTTCGATTATATCTGATATGATATTCATTTTAATAATAATATATTTATTAATAGAATATTTATAATAAAAAAAAATAATACAATTATTCGTAAATATTAATTTTAAATTTTTCTATTTCTCTTTGTTCGTGTTTCCCATTTCATAAAATTTTCATAATTTTTTTTTAAACTTTCTATTTCCTTTTTTCTTTTACTTCTTTTTTCTTTACTCAAAGGATTTTTATTTTTTTCATTGAAAAATTCATGGATTGAAACGTCTATTGAAATAAAAAAATATGCATTTATATTATGTCATTAATTGATATTAATAATAAATAATCTTACCAGTTTTTTTCTTAATAATAACGGGATTTTTATAAGGGTTCCAATTAATGATATTTTTAAAGATTTCAAAAAAATTTTTATCATTACAAATATGATGTATTGATTAGAAAATACAAAAACTCTTCCTTGTTTGATTTGAGAGGCATCCAACATTCTAAAAATTTTATAGACTTTATAAGGTGATACAATTCCGTCAAACTGATAGATTCCGTATATCAAAAATTGTTTATGATCATAAATTCCGTTTAAACTAAAGATATTATTTTCTACATCATTTTCGATACATTTTATTCCAAATGTTTTGTTAAACTTGTTAATAAAATTATGTTTAAAAATTTGAAAATTGAATTTAATTACTTCAGCCATTTTTGTTTGTGAAGGGTTTGAATTATCCTGATTTATAAATTATTTTTCAATTGATAATTATTAATACCAAATATTTATTATTAATTATCAAGTTATTTAAGTGATTTATTTCTGAGAAAAAAAGTAAAAAAAAAAATGAAACGTGGAAGGAAAAATGAAAAAATCGATCCTATTGAGGATAATTCTGGAGAAAAACCAGTTATGCGTTTTGTAAGAAATGTTTCTAAAAAAAATAAGAATAAAAAAATAAAAGTTCCCAATTATCAACACGATTTATTAAAAACCAATTATGAATTATTAAAAATTGAACATGAAGATAATTTGAAATCAATTTCTGATGATATTACAGTTATTGAAGAATTAATTAAAGAGAATAATAATCCTCATATAGTTAATTCTGAGTATATCAAGTATATAAATTTTTTTAATAAGATGGATGATGATGATTTGGTAAATGCTTCACAATATTTTTAATAAAATTATATTTAAATTAAGCAATACGGATAAATTTTAAAAAAAAAAGTAAAAAAAAATGTCTCTTAATGATGCTATTCAATTACATCAAACACGATCGTATGAGAATCGAGTATATGCACTTAAAATCTTTAAAGAATTAAAAAATAATTATTGGATAGGTTATTATTATGAACAAGGATATGGTGGTTTAAATATTGATATAGAAAAAGCTAAAAAATATTATCAAATAGCATCATTTGAAGAAAATTCTGATGCGATATATAGATTAGCAGTTAATATAATTAATTATTTCAATGTTAATGATTCTGATGAAGAGAAAAAGATTAATAATATGTATTCTACGGTTTTATTGAAAAAATCTGCGGAATTAGGTCATATCGATGCTGCTTATTATTATGGTGATATTTTATTAAATGGAAAATTAGATAATGAAATAAATACTAGTGTTGCTTATATTTATTTATCATTTGCTGCTAGTCGCAGTCACATAAAAGCAATATCGTTATTAGAAAATTCTTATCATTGTTAAAAAATTTTTATTGTATCAATATTTTTATTTAATAAAATCATATCATATGAAATATACATGTAATCATCTTTTTTTTGTTTGTAATCTTTTACATGTATTTTTTGTTCGAAAACCTTTTTCAACTTTCGGACATACATGAGTTTTAAAATAATATTTTGATGAAATTTTTGTTTTACATGTAAAACAAATGAATTTTTTATAATTCAAATGTAAATTTATATGTTTGTTAATATTTGATTTAGAAGTTGTAGTATAATTATTGCATTTTTCGTATTTACTACAGGTATGATGTGGTAATTTGATATGTTTTTCATATTCATTCATATTACTAAATTTTTTTTTACAAAAAAGAATTTCACAAGGTATCAATTCTTCATTGATTTCTTTTTTGACATTTTTTGTTTTACATTCATTACATAATAATTCGATTTCATCATATTTTTTGTTACATTCATGACATATTAAATCCATATTTTTTTTATGATGAGATTACAAATTGAATCTATTTATTGAAAAAAAATAGTTGGTGATAATTATTAATTGAATAATATTATAAATAAATCAATTGTTTTAATATTTTCAAGACAAAAATGTATTACGAACAAGCAAAGATTTTATTCGAACAAAAAAAATATGATAAAGCTTTCAGTTTATTTTCAATCTCGATGAATTCAGACTCTTATTTTTATCTTGGTCTTTGTTATGAATATAAATTAGGTGTTTCAAGATACGATTTTTGGACATCCAGGAATTTTTATGAACAATGTATACAAGATAACAGTACTTTTAAATATAGAGCTGCATTGCATTATGCATGCATGAATCTTAAAATGTATAAACGTCTTAATGATCAAATCAATAATTTTTTTACCAAAGAGAATGAATATATGTATAAATATTTTATTGGTTATGCTTTTATCAATGGTGAATTTGGTGCTACTGTAGATATCGATTTAGGTGAAAAATATTTAAAGGAAATTAATTGTTACGAAATTAATCATGATGATATACACTATTTATATAATCTTTATTATAAAGAATTTGGTGATTTTTTTAATTTGATAAAATGGAAAAAAAAAATCAATATTGATCTGATCGATTATTATTTTGATATTGCTATATCCGGTAATATGAAAGTTGGAAATATTCCTATTGATGAATATTACAAACAACAGTTTTATGAAATATATTTATAAGGATTTGTAATAAAAAGAATATAAATAAAATTTTAAATTAAATTATTTTTTTGTTTTACGAAATTGATTCTTAAGAAAAAAAAATATAAAATTATGATATGAATTATTAATATGGATAAATATAAAAAGAATAAAGAAAAAAAATAAATTTTAAAAATGAATTTTCCTAATGAAATAATGATATCAATATTTATGTATCTTTATGATGCAGATCTTTTTGATTGTCTTTTAGTTTCCAAACGATGGGCTAGTATTTCAATTCCAATATTATGGCAAGACCCATTTAAGCATTATAAGAATGATAAAATCGATTTTTTGAGAAAAGTTGTTTGCCATAATTTGGATATAGAAGAATATTTTAATAAAGACGAAATACCAACAAAAGAATATTCCCTTCTTCTCTTTCCGTATCTTGAATACGTGAAAAATATAAATATTTATCATATTAGTAAAGTATTTAATATGGAAATATGTAATGAAGATCTTATTGTTTATATAATAATTAATTCATTATTTATTTCATCAAAAATGATTGAAAACATTTGTATCAATACTTTTTTTTATAATATTGAAGAATTGAATGAATATATGAAATATCATCGTGTTTATTTAGATTTAAATTTAGATTATTTAAATTTAAATGAACTCGAAAATCTTGATAATTTAAAAGGTTTAACTTTAATTGGATTTAAATGATATATTTTTTTTATAATAATATAAATTAAAATATTATGTTTTATTTATATTTATATGAAATATATTTAGGATAATTTTTATTTTTATTAATTTTTTTATAGTAAATTAAATAAAATAGATTAATTTTAAATTATTGATATTATCTTTACCGTATTTCAAAAATTTTAGAGTTTCATGATTTTTACATTCGTTAATCAAGTCTTGTAAATCATGATCGAAATTAAAAGATTCCAAATTCAGAAATATTAATTTTTTTAAATGTTTTAATATGAATATGATATCATTGATTTTATAGATACAGTTTATCAACGAAAGATATTTAAGATTTTGTAATTTGATGATATTATCAAATAAATAATTATTAGAAATATTTTTTAATTCGAGATTTGTCATATTTACAATTGATAATCTATCGAAAAAATTATGGTAATCACAAAATAAATAAATGTTTGATATTGTCAATTTTTTTAAATTTTCAAGATTTTTAAGAGTGTTTAGATTTAATATGGTTAAATATAATGATAAATGAACAGAATGTTTTTTCATGTAATCGTTCAAGGTTTTAATGTTTTTAAAATAATCACGTATATGAATGTGATTGATTTTATCGGAAGAACGAAATAATAAATTAATTATAATTTTTTCATTAAAGAATATTTTTTTAATTGAAAAAGTATTTATTTTTCTCACGTATTTGAGATATTGAAAAAATGGTTTTAAACAATTTTTATTCAGAAATTCATATTTCATGATACGTCTTTCATGAATCTTTAGATTGTAATAAATAACTTGTTTTAAAGAATCGATCTTTTTACGATTATAATGTCTGAACAGGTTCTGCCAGAGTATCGGTATTGCGATCCCTGCAAAAATCCGAGAAGCCATGACACAGCTGAACAATGATCCGTTCATATCATATAAATATGATAGAATATACAATATCAATTCGTTTGGAAAAATCATGTTAAAGATTTATATTCTCATAATATAACACATTTACTTATTTATATTTATTCATATTATTAATTTAAACCTTCGGTGTATAAATTAAATGCTTTATCATAAGTTATTTCTATAGGATCTTAAAAATATCTTGATATAAAAGTAAATATTGTATGATTTTTGAATTTAGAGGATACAATTAGAATATTTGATAGAAATAATATTTTTTCAACATGAAAAATATCAATAAAAGATTTCATTAAAACATCACCAATTTCCTCTAACCTATTTTCAAAAAGAATAAAGATTTCCAATACAATATTATTATTTAATATAAATCCTAAATTTTCAAGTTCTTTAAATCGTTTAATAATACATGTTTTATCAGGTTTGATTGAATGATTTTGATTAGAGAAAAGAATGATCATCGCAGCTTGTATCACTAGAGTATTAGTATCTTTGCAAATATCGTGATATCCAGTTTCTTTCCAAAATTTAATCAGTATTGGATTTATCAAGATTGCTCTAGTGATTATATTCATTTGATTGATATCTTCAAACCCGTCTATTGAAGGATAAGGTTTTGTATCATTACTTTTTCCAAATGGAAAAGGTATGTATTTAAAGTTAATTATGAGATTTTTAATTTCTTCAAAATTTTTATTAAAGATTATTGAAGCATCGTTGAATTTGTATATTGTACCAGTTAATAAATTAAATAACTCCATATCATTTCCACGTAAATCGAAATTTTCTTTGAATCTTGATTTAGCTTCATTCAATAAAAATGTATAAACAGGAATAGATAGATCTGATGCCCATGATTTTATTTTTATTTGAGTTTTTATATTATATTTTTGATTTAATTTTAATTCCAAGAGTTTTTTATCAAAAGTACCAAAAGAGAGATGGAGTTTTTGGATAAAATGCCTAGACAGAATCCCACCCTTGTTGATAATGATCTTTGTCGTTTCGACGTTGAGAAAGGAAGGACCCAGCTTGATCGTGTGGAATAGAGCATGAGCGATACCGTGATGAAAGATGAGCCATTCAGCCTTAAAACAATCATTGATTATGATAAGTTTGAAATGTTTGCAGATACGCATAATATTGGTCAAGATCTTCATGTGTTTGAATATATTAAAAATGATTTCATTAGAAATAATATTATTTGAAAAATCGTATCTGGTAAACATTTTGACAAGATTCACAGATAATATTTTATTGATTTATATCTTGTTTAAATTATTAATAAAAAAAAATCTTTATTTGATTAAAATATTTATTAAAAAAAAAATATAAATAATATTTATGATAAAATAATTTGAAATGATATAATTTAAAATAAATATATTAGATGAATGAGATAAATGATTTTTGTTCGTCTCCATCATCATCAAAGTAATAATCCCAAACATTACGAGTGATTAATTTACGATAAATTTCATCATCTAGAAAAAAAATGTATTCTCCGATATCAGAGATTTCAAAACATTCTATGCCTTCATACTTGGTTTTCCTAATAGGGATTCTGTTGAATTCACATCTAAATTCATCTGGGACTTTTTTTAATTTCTCATTTTTAAATGTTAGGAAGATGTATTCTTTTTGATTTTCACAAATATCTAAAAATGAAAATCCATAGAAATCTGGTTCTATTTTTATGAAAATTTTATCGTTATGATAGATGATATAACTTTT